AACTCACAGCAATATGCGACCTTGGTAAGATGCTCGGCGGAGTGCCGATGACGACGGACTTTGTCCTCCAGTGCTCGAAGAGCATCCCGATTCACCGGACGGCGATCGACCAAGTCGCCATCGTCCGCCACCGACTCTTAAATGGATGGCGTCTACAATCACGTGGAATACCTTGTGGGTCGACGTCGTCGACAGGGTCAAACCTGATATCTTGCGAAGTACCCAAACTTCGAGAGTTCGTGGGAGATTAAGGCGCCGCCTTGGCAAGACTGCCCAGGCGTCGTGGACGCATATGGTCAGACGGATCATGATGCTCCGCGTCGGCGTGCGCTCTGCGCTTCTCGGCGGCAGTTCAGGAATCCGAAAGACCATAAAATGAGCTTGAGCTATGGCCCTGGTCGTTGCCTCACCCGTTAGAGACCACAGAGCTCACGGGAGCGCGATGGATTATTCCATATTTCGCAGGGCAACAATACGCAGGTAGTCGACGTTGCGCCTTGAGTTTAGCGCACTCGAAGCGAAGACAGCGTTCTACGCGCACGTACACTTCCTTATACCTCGGCTGTACGTTAAACAGCGAGGAAGTTTCCGGTGCCGCTGCACCCATCGGTTAGAGAGCTCTTCATCATTTGCAGCGGTTTTGCCAGGGGCTAGCAGCCTGCATTGCGGGTTAAGGAGCGCCTACTCTTTGAGCGCGGAGTGGAGCTCGGTACCTATGCATTGGGATTTTTTGAGGTACCAAGAAGCGAGCTCGGAGAGCCATTTGCTGGTCAAGCTCAACTTGTCTAGTGGCCGTAAGCCCGACTACGTAGACGCCTAACGATCGTGTAATCACGTCTTTCGCTTCAGTAGCGAGAGCCGCCGAGCGGAAACTGTATTCCACACAAGGGCCTTGAACCAAACGTGATTACAAGCGCATGAGAGCCACCCTAATGGTAGTCTTCAACTGCTTATCCAATGCCTCGCTGAGGCGATTGGTAATCATACCACTTTACACGGTGTCCGCAAGGTTCGAGCAGGGCTCACGTCACGCCGTTGATGCACCTTGCCCTCCTCTTCTTCCAGACTCATAGTCGACTTCGAATCCTCACCGAGAAAATTCGTCGCCCGTGGCGAGCGGTGTGTGTGGCGCCCGGTTGCCGAGGGCATTAATGTGGTTCCCGTGAAGCCTCGGACGTTCTGCCCAGAGATGCACCCGTACAGAAGTCAAAGAAGGGCTTTTCTCTTGTACGCCCTTCAAACTAGCTAAGCTGAGTGTTTTTTGCGTCACAGATACAGGGATTGGTGACATTAGCTCAGCTTCCTCTAAGCAAAGGGCTGCGGCAGCCCCACTTCTGGGTGCGTACTGAACCATTTTATACTTACACCTCAAATCTAATATTTCTTCTTCATCAATGCGTAAAAGTTCTTAAGTTTATCAAATTCACATTGCATTTTTCGTTGTATTTTAATAAATAACGAGGTACGGCGAAAATGTCGGATTGCAAGTAAATTGTTAGCCTCATATCAAATTATTGCTGAGTATAGTAAAACAATTGTATGTTATATCAGCTAAATTAAACTATTTTATAAGCACTGTATTAAGCTTTCTTGATAGGCTTTCGATTTTACCAATGGGTATAAGGTACGCTTCCATTCAATACAAGTCAACAAACGCGCCGTTTTAAGTTGAGGCTTTTGTTGTGTGAAGTGCACGGCATTGCACTAGAAAGCACTGGTAGATAATCAGACGATCGGGTCGCAAAAAGACTGAATTATTTGTGCTGACGGGACACAAAATTTATCTATCCTCGAGAATCTAAACTAGCGCATTTTTATCGTTGGCCCCAGCAATGTCAGGAAGCTTACCGCTTCGAGGGTCAGAAACGGTAATCGCTTGCTTGGAGGCGTTCACAAGCTAAGAGAATGCGCTGGTGAGACCATCCAGCAGTACTCTTCCCAATGTCCGGTGGATGCACGCGTGATGATGGTTGCTGCGTCAAATGCGTTTTTTTATGCATTCCGCGAAGATTGTACAAGGTTCATGAGCTGAAGGATTAAAGACCGCTTGAAGCGTTAGACGTCAGCCTTGCTATGAAGAATGAGTATTCCCTTGCCTACTGACCAGTCGTGCGATACTCACAGATTTTTGTCTGCGCCTTGCCCCCTCTAGGTGTGAACAATCAAACCAGAACATGCGACGAGCCTTCGCCATAAACATCAACTTCCAGTTGGTGTGGGGCAGCTAACTAGGAAAGTTTGTGTTGTATTGTACCACGTCGAGCTGAAGTATGTCCCGATGACAACGTAGCCGACTCTTAGGTGGTACGAAAAGCTTG